AAATATCCCACAGCAAAGGAAACCTAAAATTGTAATTATTTACTCATACAAAATGACAGAAATCCTTGTCGTTGGTCTAATGGTTACACGGTTCTAAGTGGGTATCTAAGTGAACTACAAGCCAATGTCTCAGAACGGATTTTTATCTTTTTTTTTTTTTAACCTGGTTTCTCTTTAAAAAAACCAAACAAAACCACACCCACACTGAAGAACCCCCAAGCCTTAGCAGAAGACTATCAGGCTATAAAGTTAAGCATTTAAAACTTAGGAAATGCCTTTGTGTATCTGTTCTTGAATTATTTTCATAATTGAAAACACAGATGATGAAATTACATGAGATCATGTATCATTTTTCTCCCTAGCCTGTTAAATTCAATGAAAGCAAGTTCTAAATGGCTTTTAAAATCTGCATTTAGGTAATTTTTTAATATGCAACCTCAAAGTGAATTAAGCAGCATCATGTAGTCTGTTCAAAAAGATTAGGTATACGTTGTTTGATAGTTAACTAATACATAGAAAAATATGTATGTACCTCCATTAAAAAAAAAGAAAAAAGAAAAAGCAAGAAGGAAAGAAATATGCACAAGAGACCCCTGGATAAAATATAAGTAATGACATGTAGAGCTTAAAAAGGCCAAATGAAAGACAGCAGTCTTTGAACTAGAATATATAGACAATAGTGATGCTAAGAAGAAAGGAACAGGAAAGTAAGAATTTTTTTAAGTGAAGCTTTACCATACACTGCTTAAAACAAAGCTGAAGACTTTCTAAGGACTCTCATTATCAAAGAAAGGGAGGCAAAAAGAATAAAATCAATGTGGCGTTCTGTTAAAAGCAAAAAGAATTGAAAAGATGTAAAAAGAAATTGCAGTAAAAGTTATCGTGTTTTTCTTTTCTGAGTTGGAAGACTTTCCACTGTAAGAAATGCAGAATTAAGCTTTATTTCACTGACTAACAAAATAGTAAAGTTTGAATTTATATGAGAAATAGAAATAATTTTTTTTTTTTTTAGTGGGTCCACTTTTTGAACTAAGAGTGATGAAGGAATGACAAGGTTCAGGTCCTAATTTATTTAATTTTTTTCCTGGAAAGCAGTGTTTTACTGATATCAGAGGCTCTCTGAAAAGCTATAATTCAGGGAAGAAAAGAATTAAGAATTCTGGACAGTATTTAAATAACGGTTAAAGGCACAGCTCCCACTGCATTCCACTTTCAAATTCTGGTGCTTCTCGAAATCCCTGTCAAAAGACTGCAGTTCCCAAGGCAAGTGCAATGAAAAAAACTTTAAATTTGCACAGAAAAGAAAACCACAAAATTGTGATGACAGTTAGACAATGTAAATATATAGGAGACTCATCTAAAGGTCCAACATCAGTTGGCCAGAAACAGATCGGGATGATAGACGGTAGCTGATGATTGCCATAGCCTATTCACAAATTGGACATTAGTATATAAAAAATTCGTCCTGTCTAGTCAGATATTAAACAATCCTTAACTTCTAATTCTTGCTAAATATTTCTATGTCCATCTTGGATGTGATGACCACACTACTGGTGTTCAGGAAAGAACTAAAGAACTAAAACAGAAAATACAACCAGCAATTCACACCAATGTTTATGGAGTTAATAAAAATACCAGTGATCGTAGGTCCTATACTTGAATCTTACATAACTGACTGTAAGCCACTAACCATCATGTCTTATGTATGTGTATCACAGAAATATTATTCAGCGGGGAAAAAGAATTTTTTTCCCTGTTATTTTTTTACAAAAGCAAGGTAAATCTATGTGAAAATAAAAGGCAGAAAATATAATCAGCAAAAGGTCGTGCTAACACAACTACTTTTGCAATTTATTGGGACTAGGTATCACAGAGATTAAGATTTTAGCAGTGGTCAGGTAAGAATGGACAAAAAAAAACCCCCAGCTACACGCACCCAAAAAAATCAGCTCAAGCAATAGAAAAAATAGTTACCTGGGATCATAAAGCAATAACTATGGTTTCCAGAAAGAATATAATGTAGTATATATATATTTAAAGTTCTTAGATCATAACAACTGGCCATCAACAGAAGCAAGGTCCTAAATTAGATAGATAACTAAATAGCCCAACTGAAAAATGGCTACTCTTTCTTTAGGTTATATTTAATTTTTTTTTTTTAACTTTACTTTTTAATACTGGGTCAATTTAATTAACAGTCAGTTTTCCCTTTGCATGTGTAACAGGGAACTAAATCAAATACTTAAAAGTAAAAAAATGGTTTCCTTAAACTAAGATATACAATGTTAAAAGCATTTATTTTATTACTTAATTAAATTTGCTTTTTCAAGGAACAGAATTAAGTCAGTTTAGGATTAATCTATCTCATCCAACTTTTTGAGAAAAAATAGTAAATTTGGGTTATAAAAGACTTAAAATTTTTTAACCCCGAATTCAAAGAACCCACCTTTGGAAAATATATAAAGTACATAATAGTTGGGAAGTTCCCAAAAATATTTCTGAAAATCCTGACTTAGCCTTTCTAAAAACCCCCGTGAATTAAAGTATAATAACTTTGAAGTGTTGCATGTTTTGTCTTTACACAGATATGACCATTCACACTACATTTCCCTGTAGTATATATAAAACACATTTTATTTCAGTATCACATAGATTTGGGTTTTTTTATTTTTAAGTAAATATACTTCAGAATCATTTATCTTGCATTTTTAGACTCCACTTTCCAGCCTGTAAGATCTCAACAATTTATTGATACAATTTCTAAATTACAAGTTATATATAAGGAACATGATTTAACAATTTATTCAAGTGACAGCACCTCTGAAGTCACAGAATCTTTATAATAATCTGTAATACAAAAACAAGTTAACTCAAAAGGGATACATCTTCATTTAATATTTCAGAAAGCAAAACCAAGAGAGACTATACAACAGAAAAGCATTTTATAACAAATAAATTCTAAGTAAAGGCAAATTTATGATATATTTACATTAAGGATCCCACAGGGCTAATAATTTATTTTTGATCATTGAAAAGCAACGGTCTTTGGTAAACAGAACTAATGTAACAAACATGTTTATATACAGCATACGAAACACACAAAGGTAATAGTTATGTTTGGTTAATATGCATTACCATTGAATGTATCACCACTGTTTAATTTCTCAAATCCATGATGATAAAATTTATATAAACACACATGAAGAAACTTATGTAAAAAGGTGTAAGACCAGGGCCTTTTTAAACATAGTTCCTGGACTACCGAAAGGAGAGTGAATATGTAGTTATGCTGTAGATGTGTATTTTTTGGAAGTATATTTATATTACTGTAAACTCTCTTTCTCCCCCTGCCTCCCGCCTCTGCCCCCTGTCTCTCTCACACACTTATGGCTCTGCCAGTTGACTATTGTCCCTGCTCCTTTCCTAGTCTCTCCTTATTGAAGGTACACTACAATGACACTTTTTTCTTTCCTGAAGAAAAAAATCTTTCCCAAGCTCCTAACATAGGCAAGTTCTACATGCCTATATTTGTCAAAAGAGCTTACTTTTATTTATTTTTCTGGATGGAGTTACAGTGTAGGTTACAATCTAGACAGCAGTTATACATTAATATGAATGCAGTGTATACTATTTAACTCAATTATTCAAGATATGCATGCATTCTATTCTGGATATATGAATATAATGATAATTTTGCCATTGATATCAGTAGCTTAGAGTTATCTCATCTAAATTCAGGATCTTAGCAGTTGGGAATCTCATCTAATTTAAATGGTGTGGCTTCATCACTAACCAATGGAGAGAAGCAAGAAAACTCAGGACACAATTTGTTCTTTTCTAAGATGGCAGGCACAGAGAAAAAATCATATTCTTTCTCCATGGATAAAATTAACTTAGACTGTGATGATAAATTTCATCTAATCTAATTTTAGGAATGCAAATCGAGTGAATAAGCACAAACAAATTGTACTCACTGTTACTGTGGTGAACTAATATAATGTAAATAAATCTTTATTCCAAAACCTTCAAAAAGTATGTCAGAAAAATAGAGATATCAAGTATTTTTTCATGTTTTTCTTGAATTTTAATTTGCTTCTCATTGAAAGTGAAAAGTCAGCATATATGAAAACATAATCAAAAAGCCAATTCAGTAATTACATATAATTTATGAAATAATCCATTTTCTACTTTGATATAAAACATTTCAAGAAAATTCACTCCTTAAAAAGTTCTAGGAATTTTGATAACTTTTCCAAAATTATTTAACACAGCTTATATTTTTCGTAATGCATATTTTGGGGGGTTGGAGTTTTAGTTATTTGAAAAAGACATTGTACACAAATGACAAAATATAGTACGACCTTATCAGAAATATATTAACATTTCTTCAGTTATGTTATGCAAAGTAAGACATGAAACATAAAATTCTATCATTTTATGACTTTCAAGTATTATTTTTGTATTTTTTATATATATATATTATTTTGTTAAGTTGTATGATATTAGAGTGGTAAAAATATAAGGCTTTAAAGGGATCCTCTGCTACTGAGCTATAGTAAGCTCAGTGGGATCATATACTACAGCATAACTGGTAATCAACACGACAGAAATCTGTGCCTTGATTTAGGATATGTGTTCTAGTATTCAGATAACAAAACAAGCATTTTTAAAAGCTCTTTTGGAAAAAAAAAATCAAGCATAGATAAAAGAACCGAATCTGTATTATAATTTAGGGAAAAGAAAATCTTTTAAGAGCTCAAACATCAGAAGACCTAGAATATGTCACTGGCAACTTCCCATTAAAATCACAAGAGGAAAGTCTATTGATATTAAAGAGGCAGTTTTTAAAAAGAACTGTAGAAAATTAATGAAAAGGCTTTAGGTAAAAAAGAAACAGAAGGATAAGTAGCATGTGTTATTAAGGATTTCAAGCACACTTGGTTCTACCTAGCATTTTAAAGTGATCTTTAATACTGATATTGAAAGAACCCACAACTTACTCGAAGATCTTGTTGAGTGTCTGTGTGGCAGCGTGTTTTTTTCTCTGTTCTCAGTCAAAGCACTTCCACTGGTCATAGAAACAAGTTCTAAATCCATGTCTTCTCTGCTTACAGGGCTTGCCTGGAAGCAGTGGGAGAGAATGTACACAATCATGAAACAAAATATAACATTTTTTGAATGTAGCTCACATTACTCCAAATAAACAAACAGGGTCTGTCAAACAACCTTCTTCAAAATGATACCACAATCCTTTTTTGTTGCCTAGGCTGAACAAATGCACTATGTCAAAGCACTTTTGTAAATAAGAGCCGATCTTAAAATTGTGGTTTGTGATCTGAGTCAATGCAACAACAAAAGAAAACATTTTAGTACAGTAATTTTGAAGAAAATCAATCTTGCAGACGGCTGATGAAACCTTAAACAGCTTAAGATCATTTACTGACCAGTCTATAATTTAAGTTATAGTTGAATGTCAGAGATGTCATATTGGATTATTTCCTGCAATATTTATGTTTTATCCAGGACACATATCACTTCAATCAGACAAGGGCCCAGTGAGTAATTTAATCTTTTAGGTTTTTGCTAATTAGCCATAACTATCAGACAGCATTTTAATTATACTTTAGCTAAGAGTATTGTATTAATTATAAACTTCTAACATCCCGTGGTCATGGGTTTTGGCATGAGGCAGGTTACCTGCACACAAATATGGCAAAATAGAAATGAAAATCATATTTCATTTTAGCAATGAAATGGTATTTTGGGAACATGTAGGGCAAAGTTTAAAAACTCTGACCTGGAAGATACCACACACTGTAAATTGTAGATTGTTAGTTTTGCAGAAACAACTTCACTTACTCATGAAGAAAATGAAAACTATGCAGCCATCTAACTCTGCTGTTCACTAGATACTGAGGGCCAATAACAATGTTGAGAAAAATAAGACACTGCAGATGAACAACCTACAAAATCTCCAGTGTAGAGTCAGTCAGCTGGAAGTAATAAACATAAAGATAGAATTTTCTAGTCTCTGGACCTTCAGAAGTGGAGTCCAGAAAAACAGATTAAGTCCTTCCTATCTGGGCTGAAAATCTTGGTGTCTTTCAGAAGCTAGGTGTCTGAGTAGAGACCCTTTCTTTTTACATATAAAAACAAACAAACTACAGAAAAGGAAAGACTGTGCTAGTAGTAATGTCACCAAACTTTTTTGTAACATTGTAGTAGCATGACTACTCAATCAGGTATCGAGAGACTGGGTCTCAACTCCCAGAGAGTTAAAGCCTGCAGCTCCCTTTTTCTCAGGAAAATGCTGTTACTGTGAAGTTGTAGGCTATTCTGGAGGAGACAATCTCCAGACTTCCTGTTCAAACTAGCTCACTGTACCAAGAGCAGCACTACACCAATGCAGACAGGCTTTGTAGTCCAGTCTAACTCAGAGAACTCAGATGAAATGGAGACCTGTTTCATTTCCTTGTCTTTACTCAGTCACTGTTTAATGTAAAATTCATTAAAAAGCCCGTGCATTTTCAAACCAAAACCTCCAAAGATACAGAGATTTTACACTCTCCCTTAGTGACTGCATACCCTTCGTGTCCGCACAGAAAGTTTATCCCTTGTTTTCTAATGCTTGCTTTTTGTTTAATGATCAAGATTTTAAAGTTTTGCTTTGCACAGGTAGCAGCAAAGCTATTATTGCTGTAAACGTCAATATTTTATTTTCTCTTCCATAGCAGTGTCAAGAAACTTTGAAAAGAATAATGTTTCATCCTGCCAATTCTTTATATTTTTTGGACTTAATATTTACAGTTGCTTTAAGGTTCTGACAACTTCCTATATTCAAAATCTTTAAATAGAAAGCTTTTAGTCTTTCATTAGTAGAAGTAATGTAATCATTGTGATGCTCAGAGAGATTCAAACCAACGGAACTGATCATTCTTATTTCCATCTAACCTTTCAACACACCTCAAAAGTTTTCTAATATCCCAATTCCCAAAGACCCAGGAGACCACAGTATTCTAAACAAATAGCCTTTCCATAGTATCCAATCTCTACCATCATATAAACTGAGGCTTCATCATCTTGTAGACACCAATATTCAGGATTATATGATAGCTTTTAATAAGGCTGGCTGTCTCTCTGATGTAAATTATTTGTTATTTTATTTCAAATAAAGATAAGTGTTTTCACCCAATTACAGTCAGAGTAATATTTAAGGTCGTATTAAACACTGGAGCAAACTTAATTTCAGGTTTGTAAAGAAGCTGATTGAAAGTCCTCTGAAGCTAATTAAAACCTTCCCTTTTATATTTATAGCTTAGAGCCAAAATTTGGAAGAAATTTAAGATATTGATACAGTTTTTTGCAGAGTGTAGTATTGGACTTCCATCTGTAGTGATCTCCATAGTCAACTCTTCAGACTTTATGCCCTTGGTTTTATTACTACAAATCCTTTTTTCCAATTAATTGGAAATTAAGTTCAGTCAAGAGGAATCTTAGCCTTGAACACATCTTTGCATCTGTATATTTGTGTATTCCTGTGTAAAATTATCAAGATATTCTGTAACCTTCAGAGATAAAAAGCGCTTTTAAATTCAAGTTATATCTTGAATTTAATGATTTATATCTTGAATATATGATTTGGAGATACTGATCAACAGTGAAATGGTTAACCCTGTAGGTAAATTAAACTTCATAAAAAAAAAATCAGGAAGTTCATCCTACTTGTTATTCAACAAAATCATGCTAATTTAAAGTAGTAAGTTTAAACTGTAAGTCAGCATGCCTTCCTAAGCACTTCTATGGTAGTATTAGTAAGAAAAATCATCAAAATGACCAAGATTCAGATAATACGGTCTTAGATTTACTGCAGGTTACTACATAGGAATAATCCCCAGTGAGAAGTGCTAAGACTTTGCTGTTAATATGCAACAATTGAAATACCATTTTGTATCCCTGAAAAATAAAGTTTTAAATTATTGGAATGTGCACAAAAAGCAGTTAGAAAACTATATTAATTTAGTACTTTCAGAATGGAGGCTTATGGAACACATAAAATCCAAGGATCCTATTACACATCAGGAAACTTCATGATGGAGCATATGACATATGAATAAACTACTGGAACTGCCCAGGAATGCTTTCCTCTTCTATTTCTCTCTCTTTTTCTCTTTTTTCTTTTACTTTACTGTATATTTTCCACTTTCTTTCGGTTTACCAGAAATGTTTGGTAATGATTGAAGCTAAGTGTTAACTTCCTTTTTATCATGATTTCATAGCTTTTAACTCACCTACTGTGCAAAAGCAGTAGTTGTTCACATTTCAACCTTTAAAAAAGAACCCATGTAAATTTTAAACCCAAAATTCTCCAGCCATCTGTGTGTACAAACCACATCATTATTTCATTGCCTATATAGTACTGTTTTCTGCATTAGATATACATTTTATTCCATTTTCTATTTTTTGAACCCTCTATTTCAATTTTCTCTGCACTTCATTCATGTGGAATAGCTATGTAATTATGTGGCACAGGCTGTGACAATTCCATAACTTTGCCAGTTATGTGGGCACACCACATAATACTATTGTGGGATTGCAGCAGTATTTTGTGGACAGAACCGCTTATTGTAAATAACATACAATCTACCTATGTGCACATATGCTTACCAATAATTACATGATATGTAATTTAGATAACATTATTAGATTATGATTTGCTCAAATTAGATTAATTACTGTTTTAGACTCAGCCTAACAAATAACTATTGGTGCTGCTGCAATCAAACCCCACCACAATCACTTGGTTCATGATTTCAGCCCCTAAACTTTAAAAGAACTTTAAAAGAACCTAAGAACTGGACACACCCCATGCCAGAGAAAAATATTTGACAAAATCTGTCTTAAAGAAAACAGTAATAGCAATATCTAAACCTCAAAAGCATTTTTTTCAAAGGTGAATTTTAGAAGAATTTATGGAATTGTTTCCAAAACATGCAAATTGCATAGGTGGTGAAGCTAAAGAAGACAGAGGTTAGAAAAGGGCAAGATTGCTCAGAGAACAAAATGAGGCATATGACACATCGTCTAACTGGGAAATACTTTTTATGCAATATCTTACATCATGTATATGAGTATAAATCACTAACTCTGTATAGTTTCTTGTTTTGCCCCACCTTTTAAACCCCACATACTAATATCAATAAGAATATTGCTAATTTGGCAATAAAATGTAAAGTGTATATATATATATATATATATAAAATGGAGTGAGTATAGTCTAATTTTATGCAATGTTTTTAATAATGTTACCATATTAATATACAATTCCAACTTACTGTATTTCAATAAATGACACTGAAGGCATATTAAAATGATTTAGTTATGTGACATATAGAATTTGAGAATATTTAAAGTTGTTCAGTAGACAAGAATATAGAATTTTAGTAAATAATGTAGTTGGTATTGAACCATATTTATTTTTTTCTTTTTTTTTTTCAAATGCTGATTTAGAAGCTTTAAAAAACACACAGTGGCATTTGATGTCTTAAAAACAAACTCAGTGTGAGACATGAAACTAGAACTCTATGTACAAACACGGGTTCTTGTGCTAAAATATTTCTTCTGATCTCTATCAATGAGTAACTTGCTTGCCAAACAGAGGCAACAGTAAATAATTATATTAATCAAAAAATTCTCCTCTTTTTACACAAAGTGTGGATTGGAAATACCTGAATTCTGAAAAATCTCACAAAGAAACAAGTTCTTACCACAAGCTGTACTTGTCTACTGTCACATATCGCAGGATCTAACTCAGGCAAAAAACGACAGCTGGGAAAAACATAGGATAGAAATTTCAATATGCCCCACTGTACTGGGTTCTCTGAAATACCTGTGCAGAATCTTTTCCTAGCAACAATCCTGCTTATTTTTAAAAATAATCCCATTATTAAAATTCATAATAGAAAGTAATATTAACTGATAAAGTAGTAGATTAATATTAAATTTTTTTGTACTTAAGATTAAAATAAATAATTTGCAATTGTCTATTCAAAAGACAGAACACTAAGTTAAAATATATATGTCAATAAATGCAACCATGCACGAATTTTTGCATGTGTTGACATAAATTGCAGCCAAACCAGTTGTAATATTACTCTATGTAGGAATAAAATTGTTCTCAGTTGCCTAAATGTATCAGCTGTTATAAACTGTCTATCAGTGACGTTCCAATGGAGATCAGGACTTCCGCCACATTAAAAAATAATTTTATGATCTTTGCACTAGTACAAATACTAGTGCATTGCACACATCTGGAGAGGTAGCATAATAATATTTAAGAAAATTCTTTTATAAATTTCTGTGCCTTCTCACTTTCAAACATCATTACATGTTTCTGTTTCAGTATTTTCATTCAAATTAAAAGTCGTGGAAGTTATCTTAAACAAACACTTGGGAGTATTTCACTATTATGGAACATGACTGACAGATAAATATTTTTGCAAAGCCAGATAAATATTTCCTAAGGAACACATTCTTCATATACTTTCTACAGTCATTGATACAAACTGGGTACGTGGAATATTTTTCCACACAAAACAGAACAATATGGAGCCATACCTGCCTACTGACACTTTGGTTTTATTAGAGGTGCTTTGCATTGTGTCTGCTAATGACTTCACTAAGGTATCAATGATACCACATTGAATTTATGACCAAAATATACTTACTGTGTCTTCATGTTAGTTTAGGGCATATTAACCTTTCCCTTAATTGTGTTGATATTTTATCTGTTCAATAACCAAAACTGAATACAGAAGGAGCATTTTACAACATTTTAATACAGTATACTATGAAGATGTAAAAGTTGGGTTTACGTTTTGAAGACAAAATATAAATACAAACTATCTAGTTAAAAAAGGTATTTTTTAACTTCTTTAATCAAATCTAACAATATAGCTAATGTTACAGTTGATCTAATTACATAAACCCATAATATATATCAATAATGTTATAAAATATATCATGAATAAGAACTTTTTTCCTACACTCTTTATGGTCTAAAAACCACTGCATTGCTAACATAAAACTATGTAGTTATTTACCATGAGATTCTGCACTGTTTATCATTTAATTTTCACTGTGGAAGAAGTATCTATACAACGATTACTAAACAAATTCTAAAGGGTGACATGTTTGGGATCCAGAAATATGGTGTACTGTCTGCTAGCTGCAAAATCATGTTTGTTTTAGAACTATTAACCTAGGTTTCACTTTACAAGAGAAATTTAAAATAAAAAAAAATCTAATTTAAAGGCAATGACCTCACCACTTCGTATTTCTGGAACTCGCTGCTTCATAATCCAAAAGCTGTGCATGAAGCCACTGGTATGTGAAATCTTTTCTCCTTTGTAATTTCTCATCTAAAGCAGTATCCAGCTGAGAACATTCTTCTTTTTCACCTGGGGAGGAAAAGAGATACTCCTGTCTGTCATCATTATTTTAAAATATATTTTCTTTAAGATTCTCTATACAAACTTGGAGCCCACTGCCTTTTGCAAAATAAAAAATGCAATTACTTTATTTTCACGCAAACAGTCCAACTCTTCCTTCAGATATGTTTAAGAAATACTTTAAAATTAGTTTTAATTTTATGATTATTTTCTGTGTTGGGATGTAATATTGGCCTTCTGAATAAATTTATTATATTGGAAAATAAAACTTTCCTTTATTTTGAAATTCATATAGAGGTAAATGTTACACATAAACTGCTTGTCACACCTGCCATGAATGTTGTTTATTGTGCTATTTCTAGAATTAAAAATACACACTCATTTATACTTACAATTGCATTTACCAGTCTATAAGGTTAAAAAATATATCACCACTATATGCAAGAGGGGACACATGGCAATCATGTTACTCTGATCCACCTTTTACTGATATGATCTACTAAGACATTTCAATGACAGTTTCTGATATTGGATTCCAAAGCAATTGCATATATGATATTTTTTTTACAAATTACTACCTACTTTTGGATCACAAAAGACATCTAAATATAAAGAATAAAATAGTGACATTATGGAAAAAAAAAAATCTGTACAATTCTGGAGACCCTTTAGTTTTTGGGACCATTCTGCTGAATAACAGATATGTTTTGAAACACAAGGAAGAGGATGCCAGAACTGGAAGAGACTGCAGAGGAAGCATCATTGTTGCACGGGGATATTCAACTTTTTAGTTTCTACCCTTATACATCAACTTTATAGGTTATTTCTTTTTTTGCACCTTCAACTCAGGGCTTTTATGAGTCATCAGAAAACCTTTTTCTTTTTTTTTTTTTGGTACAAAAGCTTTTTGTTTTTCTCTTTAATGTTATTTCAGACAACACTGAATTATCATCCCTGCTGCTAATTATTCCTTCATTTTTCTTTCAAAGATTTTTCTTTCCTCGGTGATAGGTGAATTCAGCAGCTACTAGAAGTTGTTTAGTAAACTGCAGGAGCACTTGAACCAGCAAAAAGCATAGCTGACCTCACTTAACATCATTCCATTTGCCCACTATGGGGCGTGGGGGAGTTAAATGTCAGAACTGCCATAGTTTTTATTCATGTTTGGACAACATAAACTGGACTTACAGGCTATGCATTAACTCACCTTTTAAGACATTTGGTACCTGAAGTATTTTTTAAACTTATCTGTAAAAATTATAATTTACTCTGCATAAGCTCCACAATATAATTCCTCACTTGTATTTTACCTGGCTTTACAGTGAGCTCATTGCTTTCAACTTTTAGCTCTAAGGGATACTATTAAAGTATCATAGCTACTGATTTCATAGTCTGAAATACAATGTCTTTTGGTTATGCTCTCCATTTGTCTTAGTATAGGGAATCCCTATCCAAACCAAATCCATTCCTTAGGCTGAATGTATTCAATTGTCAAGGCCATAGTTACATCAATAAAATTAGGCAAGGTCCGGGTCCAGAATATAAAGTCATATATGTCTTGCTAGTCAGTCATGGACCAGAACTTAGGCAGAAGAATTTATCCTTAGCTGATGTATAGAATTCTCCTGTACCTCCCTAGGAAGACAGAAAATGAAAAGCTTGGATGGACAGTCACTGTATCTATGTAAATGAGGTTGTGAGGGCTGATTAAAAAGGTCAAGCAGTGAATTGCGTAATCAGTGCCAAATATTAAAGAATTCTAATTACACAGTTCATCACCTTCCTTTATTAAAGTGGGAACTATTTCTTCTTTTCTAAGTTTGTGATATTGCTCCTGGTTCAGGAGTACAGTTTTCTAACCTTTACATTTTGAAATTTATAGGTTCCAAGTCCACAACTACACTGGTACCTTTGCAGCTCTCCATTTAAGAAAGGTACTGATTTATAACAAGAGTAAGACACATTCTGTGTGACTTCATAAGAGCAGTCCTGGAGACTGAGCCTTCTACATATGTTCTCCAATGAGGAATAATCTCCCAAGAAATTATATTTAGTTTTTTTCTTATTTGTATTTACAGAAAAGTTGTTCCAGTGTTACCATCTTCCTTAGGATAATTACTTCTGAATCGGTATTATTTATGCATTTATTAAAGTGTTTGCTATCTTTTCATCCATTAAAAGGGAAATCAACATAGGGGATTTAAATTTAAAAACAGTATTAGAAGTTTACATCTGAGTCTGTGTGTTGAAAGAAGATGAACACACAATAATCTATGACAAAACTTACAAAAAAAAAGAATACTTTTAGCTTGACAAGTTACTTTCAAAAATGATTTTAAACAATTTTCCTTAGTTGCAGTTTCAATTTTTGATTGAACTATGTTTGAAACACAGTTGGTTTTATTTAATAAAATTTTATTTTAATTTATTTGTATTTATTTTTCCTTGTTAATTATTGAAACACAATTCAAACAAGAAAGCAACCAAGATAAAAGTGCACACAATAGGGTGCATATATATAGCATATATATGGCATATATATAGCATATATATGTCATATATATGCTATATATTCTTGTTCCATATTAGTGTTAATAGTGATTTTTTTTTCCAAATGGGCAGACACTGTTCAATAATTTGTTTATAATGCTGTAGAACACTGTATTCTATTTTCTTATTTAGAATGTACTCATATTCTTACTTTTTAACAGTAACACCTCTCTTTTTAATTCTTATGAAAAAAATATCTATGTTATGAAGTAAAGCACTGCATTATCACTTTTCTATTCCACTTATGAACAACATGTGTTTGAGAATCTGGTGAATCAGTATCATTAACATGCATTGGCTTGATAGCTTTCTTACATTAGGGCTATAGGCTTTTAAAAACCTGGACCTGATTTTGCAGAAGTACTAACACTCACAGAAGTTCCAAAGAGCTGTAAGCATCTGCATCTTTGAAATGGATCAGAGCCATAATCTTTAATTGTTAAATGTGGACAACTCTTAGACTACCAGAGAAAAATTATATACATCAAAGAAGGCACAACTCCACCGAAACCCAAATTAATTTCAGAGGTATTTCAAGAATCATACCCTCATTAGATTATCACTTCTAAGCATTCAATCTTTTTGACTTTTTTTTTTTTTTTTTATACATGACACACACATTAATAATTTAGGATTGGAATTGTCTTACATTTGGCATTAATACAGTAATAATTTTTAGGTGTTGCCAATTAATCATCCACACACATACTGTGTACTTAGGCCAGATACAATGAAGCATTCAGGGCCACCTACTGGCAATTTCCTACAAAATTTGGGCATCCAAATAGAGAGAACTCAGAAAAGCATGGACATATGAAATATCCTTGGAACTTAGTATTACAGGAAAGTAACAAATTCTTTTCTAGGTCACCAAATCCACATGCAAACCTGTAAGAACCTGAACTTTGTGATCCAGAAAAATCTCATCCTTCGTCTGCCAAATCTGTTTGCTGGGTGTGCTCTGAAACAATATGACTGTACCAATCCTGATCGGTGTAAATCCCAGTTAGCTACTGTACTCTTCATCAATTTATATGCAAGAGGATGCTAAGGACCCTGATTCAACACACTAATTTTTTTTTAAATATATTTGTTGATGATGGGTAGATAAAAGTTCTAACTTTATTATGTCATATGTTTCTTGATACAGAGAGAAGTGTGGAGAAGTCTGCACCATATCCAGCCTTTCAAATTTTGAGTTAAAAGGTGATTTCATTCACTTCAAAACTTGCTTCATATAGAGTACAATACAAATAAAGTAAAAGACTACGAAACTTAAGATCTACAATGTGAAAGAAGGGCTTGGAAATTCTTGAGCATTCTAAGTTTTCCTCCCTTAATAAAAAAAATCTGTGACCAGAGTTAATTTTCTCAATATGTATTCTGGAAAAGGTGTTCTTAATATAGGCCTTAAGTAGCTGAGCTTGGATATAAAATTATTGTCTGTGCTATTAATACATTAGATTTTTTCCTCTGACAGTATTCTGGCATAAATTATTGGTCAGCAATATATATTATAAGGGTGTGTGTATGTAAGCCTGTGTTTAAATGTACAAGCTCTAAAACAAATATTCTTAGTGAAAATTAAAATTATGTAAGTGTTATATATTTATATAATTATGTATACTATATATTATACAAGAAATATTTGTATATTATATAAAAATATATAAATTATATATACCCTTAATATATTTATACAGAATTTATTTCTCCTGTCTTCTATACAGTTATGTGCATAATACACATTTATAAACTATCTTGAAATCCCAAATCTAAATTATAATTTTTTATCTCATTTTTCCATGTCAATCAACAAAAAAAATGGCATTATTCTGTCACAGTCTATGTAAGACATGCAGAACAGAAAGTAAGAACTACATGATTTGTTCTTGCTATTAAGGCAAAAAGTGAAGTATTTGGAAACAGACAGGAAAATAACAATAATAAAAAACAGCCCCCCCCTCCACTCCTAAAACCTCCCAGAAATTTACAGTAGAATGTAAGAGAAATGAGAAGAATTTGGTTTTTTCCACACAAAGCTTGACACATTTGTCAGAAGTCTACTTTGTCACTAAATACACCTAAGCATTACATAGCAATCACTACAGGCCCCAGACTGTTTTGGAAAAAGAATGGTATTTAGCGTGGTCTTTAGCATGCTTACAGGTATTCAGTGAATACATTTATAGTAGCAAGATCTATATGACTTCCAGGCAGTTGGTAGCACCATGTGGCAGCAAATGGTTCAGAGTTCTTTTTACCAAAAATTATAGCTCCAGATAATGTTTATCTACAAGTCAGGTCTGGAATTTTCAGATAGTGGGGCACATAAATTTCTACCTTAAAACCACAGAAACTTGTTAGTGACATAGCTATCCTGTAAGGATTAGATTATAACAGAAGCTACTTTTTCATCTCAGTGACTTTTGACTAAATTGACTTCCAACTCTAGGACC